CAGAAAGATGGTTACTTGGGCTTTATTGAGTACACAAAGACTTTCAACTGTGTGGATCATGATAAACTATGGATATTGTAAAGAATGGGTATTTCAGAACACTTAGTTGTGCTCATGAGGAACCTGTACATAGACCAAGAGGCAGTCATTAGAACAGAACGAGGGGGTGCTGAATGTTTTAAAATCAGGAAAGGTGTGTGCCTTTCACCACACTTACTCAATCTATACATTGAGCAAATTATATGGATTACATAGATAAGAACGTGACATCAGGTTTGGAGGAAGACTCATTAACAGCTTGCAATATACAGATGGCACAACCTGGCTTGTTGGAAGTGAAGAGGACTTAAAGTACTTACTGACGAAGATTAAAGACTACAGCGTTCAGTATGGATTGCACCTCAATGTAAAGAAAATGAAAATCCTTGCAACTTGGCCAATAAATAACATCATGAGTAACGGAGAGAAGACTGAAGTTGTAAAATACTTCATTTTGTTTGGATCCACAATCAACACAGTCAAGAAACCAAACTATATTGATGCACTAGGCAAATCTGCTGCAAAAGACCTCTTTAAAGCTTTTAAGAGCAAACTTTGAGGAGTAAGGTGTACCTGAACCAAGCCATGGTATCTTCAATTGCCTCATATGTATGTGAAAACTGGGTATTGAATAAGGAAGACCGGAGAAGAATCAATACATTTGAGTTATGGTGTTGGAGAAGAATATTCTAAGTACCATGGGCAAGATGATATAAATCTGTGCTGGAAGAAGTGCACCCACAATGCTCCTAGAAGCCAGGATGGCAAGGCTTTGTCTCTCTTACTTAGAACATGTTATCCAGTCCCTGGAAGAGGACCTCGTGCTCGGTAAAGTGGATGGTTAACAAAAAAGGGGAAGAGTCCCAGTGAAATGGATAGACACAGTGGCAGCAGCAATGGGCTTAAATGTAGAAGCAAGTATGAGAAGGGCACAGAACTGGGCAGTCCTTGGTTCTGTTGTGTGTAGGGTCTCTGACTCAGAGCTGACTTGATGGCACGTAGCAGCAGTATTTGAACTGGAAATCTAGTAGTCATGCTTTTGGTTTACCCTTATTTATAGTTTGGGAAACTAGCTGTTATATGGATTGTAGAGTGAAAGACTAGAAAAAATGGAATCAGTGAGGAAGGTGTTGGACTAGCCCAAGCAAAGATGATGGTAGCAAAGAAAGTGTAAATTGTGGAGGAGGAAGAAAGTGGTTACAGTCAGAAAATGCATTGAAGATATGGCCAACTTATCTTGGTAGTGGATTAGAGGGAAGAGTTTGAGGAAAGTGGAGGGTACTTCTTAGATTCTTTTCTTAAGCAACTGTATAGGTGTTGGTAGTGCTAACTAAAATCAAGAAGTAAGAGATTGGGGAGAGAGTTAG